ATGGCATTTCTCAAGCACAATTAGTCTATATTCTGCATTATTGTTGCTCTGTGGGTCAGTTATTAATAAAGAGCAATTAATGTGATGGAAGTCTGAAGGAAAGTCACTTCATGGTCTCGGTGTTTATCGTTTAATTGGATCCTGTAAGCCAGCAGCGAGAGGGAAAGGTATTGATGGTGTGTGAAAGAGGCTGTCCTACATCTCAAATCCCTTCACTTTCACACATTCGGATGATCCCACACTGGAAATAAAACAGAAGTGGGAAACAAATCCTTTTCCACACAGAAGAGCTAACAAGGACGAGCTCACAAATTGCATTTTTACGAGCTCTCTCATATACCAAACCCCCCACAAAAACATGCAATAAAAAATAAACACACTACCAATGACGTATATGTTATTTCAAGAGATCAATACTTCTATTCAGCAAGGACACATTCAATTGATCAAGAGTAACACTATTGGCACTTATGTTGCAACTCATTGGGCTCTATTTTAATGATCTAGGTGCAAAGTCTAAAGTGCATGACGCAAAACCATTAAGGCCGTGTCTGAATCCACTTTTGCTATTTAAGGATGGATAAATACGCCCCGGCGCATGGTCTAACAGGGCTGCGCTTATTCTCTTAATGAGTTCTGGGTGTGTTTTGAGCATAACCTGCATTAAACCAATCAGAGTCTCGTCTCTCATTCCCTTTAAGAGTCAGTTGTGTCGCTCCATGGTGTATTTGCTATTTACATGACGGACTTTCTAAGTGTAAAAGCTGAACACTTCACTAGTGAGAAAACAGTTAAACAGAGCATCTGCAGCGCGAGGGTAAAGAACGAGCCTCCTCCATTCAGCCTCTTTACTTTCTCTTTACTTTAGAAAGTAAAGAAACACATACAGAACAAGGAAAGATATCCATTAGCCCACATATTTAATTTAGTTTGTTAAGCACAAAGATTTGCTTCAAAACTATTTCTAAATTCAGTTCTAAGGAATAAATGAACAATAATAATGAAGTGTGGTCAGAAAACTGAGTTTTATCCAAACACACGTCCTGTTCCTATGCCCCATATGCTGATGCAGACGCCTCCAAAACCCCACAGCTGGACACATCTACACTTGTGTTTATTAAAGCAAATATAAATCTGCATATAACAAATAATACTGCTGATAATAAGATTATACAGATGCAGATGGTCATCAATAAAGTAAAAAAGCTCCCCGAGGTGAAGAAGGCACAGAGGCAGTGGTGTTTATATTGATGTAGAAAATCATCATGTTTGTATCATTTTAATCCTTTAATTGTTTTCATCTGTAAAGATATTTGTGTGTTGCTGATCATCCTGTGTGTATTCAGCAGTGTGTGAGCGTTTGGACCTGTATAGGTGCATCACTAACACACTCTGCTGGACTTCAGAGCAGCTTTTAGTTGGTCATTGGTGTGGTCTATTTCAGTTCCTCAAAATATCAACGCTCCAACAATGTGCCTTAACACACCTCCTTTATAGAGCAGCGCACACACACACACACACACACACACACACACACACACACACACACACACGTCCACAAAATGACGCAAATGGATTTGCTATTAAAACAGCGTGGGAAAATTACTGTTGCACTGATCTGAAAATAGCAACAAATCACGCCAAACACAACTTGTGCACTATTGCGATGGGTGTATGAGAGCCCATAATGTCAAATAAACAACCTTTATTTTTCTGAAGATTTTCAACACATTTCTAATCATAACAGTTTTAATAACTCATTTCTAATAACTTATTTCTTTTATCTTTGCTATGATGACAGTACGCAATATATTTGACTATATTTGACTAGTATTCAGCTTAAAGTGACATTTAAAGGCTTCACTAGGGTAATTAGGCAAGTCATTGTATAACAGTGGTTTGTTCTGAAGAATTCAAAACTAATATTGCTTAAGAGGGCGAATAATATTGACCTTAAAATGGGTTTTAAAAAATGAACTGCTTTTATTCTAGCCCAAATAAAACAAGACTTTCTCCAGAGGAACAAATATTATAGAAAATACCGTAAAAAAAAATTCCTTGCTCTGTTGATCATCAATTGGGAATTGCAGGAGGGCGAATCATTTTGACTTCAACTGTGTATAGTGAGTCACAACCAGCTGTAAATCTTGACTTCATTTGCACTCTGCTGATCATAACTTCATCCCAGTGTAGAGCATCATATTAGCTTTCAAACATAAAGATATATCTGTTTTGCTTTCACTAATGCATGAACATCTAAACCGTTCTGTGTTCAGATTTCTAGCAAAAGCTCTGAAACTAATCAAGCGTCGCCCGCAGGATTTGGCAGCGTTAATGACAATGCTGAAGCAGGAATCTGGCTACAGAGATGGGTTTCGTTTCACACCCAAATCCTCTTATCATCACACGTTTCATTCACAGAGCCACTCAAAAAAGAGAAACTCAAAAACACTGAAAATTGTAGGCACATTTCATCACGATATTCCCTTTCAGCAAGGTAAACAAGTAAAAAAAAAAAAAAGCAATGCAAACAGCAATTTTGTATGAGCTCTGTCATACTTCACAAATGACCAAGTTCAACAAGTCTGGAAGTGCATAAATATCAAAGAGGAGATTCATAGCATGTTCAACAGGTTCCCGCTGGGTTTCTCACGCAACATCCTGAAAATAAGGAAACATCACATTCTCACAGCAAACTCACAGAATTGCAAGAGCAGAGACCCCCTGAACCAGAGGTGTAATTTCCACTGGGGATAAGGGAAAACATATTCCTATATATGCGTTCAGTTTTTACACTTACAAAGTCCGTCTTGTAAATAGCAAATACACCATGGAGCGACACAACTGACTCTTAAAGGGAATGAGAGACGAGACTCTGATTGGTTTAATGCAGGTTATGCTCAAAACACACCCAGAACTCATTAAGAGAATAAGCGCAGCCCTGTTAGACCATGCGCCGGGGCGTATTTATCCATCCTTAAATAGCAAAAGTGGATTCAGACACGGCCTTAATGGTTTTGCGTCATGCACTTTAGACTTTGCACCTAGATCATTAAAATAGAGCCCAATGAGTTGCAACATAAGTGCCAATAGTGTTACTCTTGATCAATTGAATGTGTCCTTGCTGAATAGAAGTATTGATCTCTTGAAATAACATATACGTCATTGGTAGTGTGTTTATTTTTTATTGCATGTTTTTGTGGGGGGTTTGGTATATGAGAGAGCTCGTAAAAATGCAATTTGTGAGCTCGTCCTTGTTAGCTCTTCTGTGTGGAAAAGGATTTGTTTCCCACTTCTGTTTTATTTCCAGTGTGGGATCATCCGAATGTGTGAAAGTGAAGGGATTTGAGATGTAGGACAGCCTCTTTCACACACCATCAATACCTTTCCCTCTCGCTGCTGGCTTACAGGATCCAATTAAACGATAAACACCGAGA